CTCACCTATATCGATTGTCAGTTATTCTTCCATCATTTGAGTGAAACGAAGTTAACTTAAAGATCGTATACCTACTTATAGTAAGTTTTTTTGCTGTTTCAATATTATGGCCGGTGTGGTAAATATTCGAGACATCGATCAGTCATTGGGATCAAGGTAATTATCGATTTTTAATTACTGAAACTTAGATATACAATACTTTACAAAGTATTAATGGCACTTTTTTTGCACTACGTATTAATGTTATATGCAGCATTTATAATATGATGTAATATAATTAGATATTTAGTTTTCAGATTAAAGCACGTGTTTTAAAAGTTCACGAGTTACGTACCTTCAAAAATAATACAGGAAAACTTTTTTGTGTGGATATATTTGATGCTACGGGAGAAATACGTCTCACCGCTTTTAATAACGATGCCGAAAATGTGTGCTCAATTTTCAAGGTATGATATGAAGAATAGTAATAAATAATAATATTACGATCGTCAAATACGATTTATTAAATTTAAAAATGTATTATCTTATATCTATAAAAACATTATGATTTGTACCTTTATAGAAAGACCAGATTTTTAGCATAGTAAATGGAAAAATTAACAAAGCTAATAAATTATACAATCGCCTTAATCATAATTATGAAATTATAATGGGACCTATGACAATTATTACTCAAATAGAAGATACATCGGATGTAGTTCCAACACACGTCACTCTTATGACGTTTGATAGTATTATATCATTAAATAATGATGCGATATTGCGATAGTTGGTATGTATTACACATTACTATATAGTCTTCCGTTATAATTAATTTTATTTACTACTTAATTACTTTCTAGACACTATTGGAGTAATAATTCGCATAGAAGACATAGTAGACATTGTAAAGCCAACCAAAACACTGAAACTACGAGATGTTATAATAGCAGATAATACTGGAATCGAGGTACCTAAATAGGTTTTATATTACAATAAACATTTTATCTGTTTTAAATACCTATATAAATGATTTTATATTATATTTAATTTTATATTACACTTACGCTATGGAACGAAGAAGCTTCTGTATTTAGTGGAAAAATAGAAGACGTTCTTTCAGTTGAGAAGGGTAAATTAGTTGTTTATAAAAAAGGTAAAAAATTATCTGTAACGCAGTCTACTGTTATACAAATTAACCCTAATTGGCCTGAAAAAGAAGTGTTAAAAGAATGGTATAAAAATGAGGGCCAATATCAAGTCGATAGAATGGATTTAACACAATCATCGTCAATCGATAATAACACTACGTTAAATCAATCAGGTAGGTTTTTAAAATAGTTTAAACAAATTGACTTACATAGCAACTTTCTATAATGTGTGTTGTATTTTTTTTTCAATAACAGATAACGCATATTTAACATCAGTAGATGATAAGATTTTTTCACAAATAGTGGAAGACGAAAAGTCTACGAAACGTCGTTTAGATGAGATATACATCCTCCAAGAACAGCTGCAAAGTGAAATTATTGAACTTACATTTAAAAAAATTAGATTAAATCTCGAACGTCAAGCGGTAGAAAATAGGATTATTAATAGAAGACAATAAGACATTGATTATTAATTTTATTATTGTCTATATAATATATTTTTAATTTGATTGTATATTATGTATTTATTATTGTTATTATTATTAATTATTGCATTTGTTTGCACTTGCATTTTTCCAAATGAAATATATATTATTCAATGAACAAATAATTTATTGTTACATTTTTTTCTACCTTATCTCTATTCTATAATAAAAAGAATACAATTGACCACTCCAGTGGTTGAATTCTAAATAAAGGATATATCATTTTCAGAAACTAGCAATAACAATAACTGCAATATGTAATTATGTTATATTTATTTGTATAGCCAAAAAAAATAGTCTTATGTTTTTAAATTAAATTATAAAAAAATAATTTCTTCCGGAGGAAGATCGGGCAGCTAGTT